AGGGGTTTTGACCTTCTGCACAAGGCAGGAATGGGTGGTACGAGGGAGGATGGCACTATAAGGAGCTATAGTGCTCAGAAAACAACTTTGTTTTCATGGCACTATATTTTGCCTTTAAATAATATTTTCAAATCAGAATAAATTTTTACAATTTCGTTTTTAATTCACTACAATTTTGTGTTTAGTGAATAAGCCCTTTGACACTATTAATGCACTACCTTTAGAAAATAGCCCTACCGCTTGCTTATCAAGCAGGATATGCAAATAAACAAAAGAGAAATTAATTCCTTTCAAAGAGCAAATGATTTACAGAGCTAAAAGCTGCAATTTGTTTCCGGGCTTATTTCTAGGTGGTAGCGATACCCTAGAGTAAGGGGGCCCAAAAAGGCAGATCCCCAGATATTTTAAAACTACAGCTTCCATTTAGTGGAAAACTACAGCTTCCATTCCATTCTAATAGCATGCAAAGCAAAATGGGACTTGTGGTTCTACAACATACGGGGATCTACCCTTTGGTCACCCCTGGCCAAGATTATATGAAGGTTCCAACAGCAGAGTAGAATTTAAAAAAAAAAGAAGAAGAAAATAGAGTTCATATTTAAATATTGATACAAAGTGTATTCTCCTCAATGAAGTCTTTCTTTTAATGAAAATTCAGAATGTGGTTTTTATTTTAGTACTGATTAGTCTCCACATCCCAAAGGGAAGTGTTAATTAGTGACATAATTATATTAACCTCATTAATTAATAAACTGAGTGCACTCCTTTGCTCACCTAATTAGACTTAAGGTACTAATGGAAAATTAAAGTTCAGGAATAACTTAGAATATCTGATCAAAGTAAAAACACATACACAATAGACTTAGATGGCTGATTCAATCCAAACTCCAATGCGATCAAATTTTCAAACTTCGAGTTGAAAAGTAGCCGAATCACGAACCAACTAAAATGTGCAATGGTAGAACATTATTGTTTTGATTAACGATTTTGTATTCTGCCTGTTGCACTAAAAAAAGAGGTAATTAACAGGAAATAAAATAATCGATGGACAGACACTAAATGTTGATTTTATTCACAGATCAAGATAGAAGTAACCAATAGAAGGGAAAAAAAGACAAAGCAGTAAAAGATTTTTGTTATATTTATACAGTGGGACCTCGGTTTACAAACTCCTCAGTTAACATAATTTTCGGTTTACAATGAAAATCCATTGAAAATAATCCCTTGGTTTACTAAATTTTTTTGCAATACAAAGCAAGTTTCCCCAGGATGCATTGCACCTGGGAGGTTTATAGCACCGCCCCCTGCATGCTGGAGTCTGTGGGTAGCACGTGGCATCAAGTGTGGAGGTGTTGGAGCGGCTTTTGCATCGAGGTTTGGAGCCATTCTGGAAATTGTTTGCAGTTGTTTTGGGACGTTTTGGTACATTTCTCAAGCTAAGGAAAGGTAGGGAGCTGAGCTGAGCTTCGTCGTTTGCATGTCTTTTACTGTGTGTTCTGCATTGTGGGTTGGTTTCCATGTCAGCTCATTTTGACTTTTTTCTGACCTCCATAACGGATTCATTGGTTTTCAATGCATTCCTATGGGAAACCATGTTTCAGTTTACAAATGTTTTGCAAATAAGAAACGTCCCGGAAAACGCATTAAATTCGTAAACCGAGGTCCCACTATATATTCATATATTACAGTCAGGAAGGAGGGAGTGAATGGACTCTACTATTTCACTGTCAGATTTACATTAGCAGTCCAGAGATTGCTATTTGCAGTTTAAGATACCTTTGAAAGTAAAGTGAACCAGGTAGCTGCAGTACTTAAAAATATCTATATAGTAACTTTAGCCAAATGCTGCCACAGAGTCAAAAATGTAATTTTGCTATCACCAACATTAGATAAGCTTGAACTAATATTTGGGAAAGATTAAAATGCAGAAGATTGCTGAACAGCTGCAAAACGTCATCCACACATTTAGTAAATTATTTATAAAATTATTATAATAACTGGAAAATTAATTTTGAATATTTAGCCAATCAAAACCATAGAAGCTACCTAGTTGTTCTAAGTACTGATGGATTGTTGCCCAAAATACACAAAGTACATTTTTGTTGCCCCCTTTCCATTTAAAGGATCACTATAGTGTCAGGAAAACAAACCGGTTTTCATGACACTATATAATCCTTGGGGGACCCTCACCCTCAGGTCCCCCTCACTTGGCACTGAAGGGGTTAAAACCCACTTACCTTAATCCAGCTCCGGGCTCCCTCGGCGCTGGTGACCTCTCCTCCCCCACCGACATCAGCTCCCGAGTGGAGCGGAATGCGCATGCGTGACAAGTGCAGCACGTGCATTCAAACTGTCTATAGGAAATCATTTCTCAATGCATTTCTATGGATGTTCTGCACACTGGATGCGAATTTCGTTTGCATCCAGCGTCGCAGAAGCGCCTCTAGCGGCTGTCAGGAAGACAACCACTAGAGGTTGGATTAACCCTGCAATGTAAACATAGGAGTTTCTCTGTAACTGCTATGTTTACATGTGAAGGGTTAAAACCTGAGGGACCTGGCACCCAGACCACTTCATTGAGCTGAAGTGGTCTGGGTGACTATAGTGTCCCTTCAATTGAAAAACCTTGTTAAAGACAAACTCGTTGTGCTGTAGATAAGATTCTACAATTGTGGTACATAATATTAATAAAAAATATTCTAGACATTGTCGTTCAGTAGCTAACCTTAAATTCTGTTCAGCATTAGCTCTTCTGTTTTATTGGCAAAAAGAAAATCACTATTACATAGTTAACTTTCACAGCATATATTGTTACTCATTAAACTATCATGAGCAACAAGTAGAACCTTCTATAAAACTATGCTGCCTTTGGAAGGGACACGCAATCCAAAGCTTCAGATGAAATCCTTCAAAAACAATATAATGTATGTGATTATGTTGGGAACATTTCTATTTTGGCTCATTGTTTTTTGCTACATCATAACGTTTTTAGACACATTCCATAATTTAGCTCTTTTAGACAGCAGAGTAACATTTGGTATAGGAAAACTGTTCATCTTTATCTAGATTTAGAGAATGCATCCTCTTTTTTTTGGCCTTCAGATGATACTTACAAGTCCTTCATATGTGATTATAATTCATTTTCTCCTAATTAAAATGATTCATATCAGGCATAGTCAATTATACTGAAGTATTTTGCATGCAACAATTTTAATCAACTCAAACTGAATAATCACGATAAGTATATATTGTGTGGTTATCCAAATTAGTTTGATGCTTTGTGTGGGTTCCTTTAATGTTCAAAGACTTCATTTAATGTTCCAATGTCTGAAAGCTTTGTGGACACTTTTATGTAGACAAAATAGTGGCATCGAGCCATTAAGCTTAAGCTTATAAACCACTTTAAAAAAGAGGAAAATAGGAAAAGTAAACTTAAGTATTCGTGAAACATTCACCAGCTCTGTAGCTGATTAGCTGTTAAGAAATGCAGTTAAAGTAAGGTAATTAGTTAACCAAAACAAGAGCTATGTCAATAAAATATGGCTTCACATGCACAATAGTTTTGGTGATGTGGTGGTGTAGGGCCTGAGTAAAAATAGGCAGAAGTCCCATGCACATTTCTTCCCTTTTAGATAAAAAAAAAATGGGCCACTGTGTTAGCATTACAATTAAACAAAGGGCCAACAAGTCGATCCCATAAGTGTAATTTGGATTAAACTTGGATATTTGTTTCATTCTGAATTGCAGTTTGACCTAATTTTTGGTCAATTGAGTGATCATCTGAGTTCCCGAACTCAAAACCAAAATGTAGCTGCATTAAAAATCAAATAAAAAAGTACAATGATCAAGTATGTTTGTTTTAATTTGTGATTCAGAATTCCACCTTTGTAGCCAAAAAAAGGGACGATTGATGGGGAAAAAAGGTGATGTCTAGGTGTTAATTAATATTCCATAATTAAGTAACATAAGTTACAACATTAACATTTTTTTTTCATATTTCTTGATAATATGGTTGAATGTATGGATAGAAATACACGGAATGTTGTAAAGTTAAATGTAAATTTACTACAATAATGTATAGCAAGTAACAGGCTGTAAGAAATGATAGTTACATTGAAATACAGTACAGTACAATACAGAAAATAAACAAACTACAAAATATTACTAACCAATGTCCTCAGACTTGGCCTGGTGGTAAAGAGTATACATATTGGGCAAGGAAAAAGAATAAGCTGAATATCTCTTAGGTTTACAGTGGGATGTTTTAAGAGAGATAACTTCCCAAGAGTAGGCTGGCCTGTGATGTCCCTGCTAAAAGCACATGGTATAAGTGGGTTAGGTAGTACAGTTTGTAAATTCCCTAACTACAGAGCCTGTTCAGAAACGCAAGTTCATCGGTTCAAATCCCAGCAAGGTCAACTCAACCCTTCACCCTTCTGAGGTCAATAAAGGAGAACTATAAATTCCTTAACTACAGAGCCTGTTCAGAAACGCAAGTTCACCGGTTCAAATCCCAGCAAGGTCAACTCAACCCTTCACCCTTCTGAGGTCAATAAAGGAGAACTATCAATTATTAATGAGAATGAGAAGTTATAATTACATATATTATTATTCAGCTACATTCTTTGGTTAATTCCAAGAATGTGCACTGAAAAGTACTTTGAGTTTCACTGGGAGACAGGTGCAATATAAATTATTATAAGGTAACCATGGAAATTAATTATACATACTGCCCCTAGTGGTCCCTCTAAAGCATTAACATCATCATTAAAATTTTACAAACAGGTGAAGTAAGAAGTGACCAATTGTCAGGATTTTGGGCAAAGGAATTTGATATGCATAAATTGGCAAAGGTTTTAGACCAGTATTTTTCGCAAGATAGAGTCAAAGTAGAACTAGTCACCAGTAGTGATGTGCAGAACGGTTCGCGAACGGTTCGCCACGAATGGTTCGCCACGGACTCATCATTGAGTAAACTTTGACCCTGTACCTCACAGTCAGCAGACACATTCCAGCCAATCAGCAGCAAACCCTCCCTCCCAGACCCTCCCACCTCCTGGACAGCTCACTTAAAAATGCAGCTTCACAATGAATGTAAAATGGATGCTGTCCAGGAGGTGGGAGGGTCTGGGAGGGAGGGTCTGCTGCTGATTGGCTGGAATGTGTCTGCTGACTGTGAGGTACAGGGTTAAAGTTTACTCAATGATGAGTCCGTAGCGAACCGTTCGCGAACCGTTCGGCGAACCGTTCAGGACATCACTAGTCACCAGTTTAGATGTCTGGATCTTAGCACAGAATATGGTTCATACTGTAGACCAGCACAGAAATAGTTTCACTGGACATTAGCTCAGAAACACAGCTTGCAGAGTTTACACTATAGAGAAAGCTTACATAGAAATGCAGCTTTTTTCCTACAAAAAGGCCTGGTTGATTGAAAAATATATATCTTTGGTTATTTCTGTCCAAAATGTGAATGAAAACAGCATTTAAATTCAAAGAAAATTTTTATTTTGCAAATTTTCTGGAATTGTGGATTGAGGTGAGAGCCTGTACCGTGGCAATAATATTTTCTGAGTGCAAAGCCCCTTGTGTTGAAATATTTATATTATATATACATTTTGCATATAGATATATATAACTTAAGAATTTTGTGTATTTGCCTACAAGACCCTAGCTAGCTAAATAATCTGCACAATGTTCTCGGTGTTCAATATTCCTGCCTCTTTGAATGGTAGAGTTCAAGAAATGTTATTTGTTATTGGTGAAGCACTGAAAGGATTTATTTTTCATTTTACATTTTAACATGAAATCTAATAATATTATTTGAATATTGATTAATAATAACAATTACAATATAATAATTAATATTACAAATATCTAGTATTCAAATATTGTGCTCATTACATTTAAGTTCTTTAGTTAATTGTTGATTATAAATGGGTTAATGTGTTTAAGCTATGCAAAAGTCAATACGTTGGGAAGTATATTTTGCTTAGTTGAGTCACCTTTTATTTTTAAAATTGAATATATATAAATCATGTATTTTTATTGTTTTTTTTTAAGCAAATTAACCTTATTTATCAATGGAGCTCTCCATACAAGTTTTTCAGAAACAATTTGCTATTGCACATGGAGATAGACAAAATGATATCTTAAAAAAATAAAAATGTATGTACTAAAAATTATACATTTTGTGCAAAAAAATAATTGCTTACATTATCTAGAGGGGTTGTAGTTTTAAATATATTCATTTCAAACAAAACAGTGTTTTCATTACATTTTATTGTTCCAGAGAACAGCGGAAAGTTAGTGTGCCTTTTTAAATTATGTATTTTAAGTAAAAATATTGCTTTATCTGAAACCTCATTATTTTTTAATGTGTCTCTATTTCATTTTGGTGGCTAAATGTGTAAAACACTGTGTTTTGCATGAATTAGAAGTAAAATAAAAACACAGATGTGCAGTTTTTTTATGCAGCTGTAAACTAAGATGTTTTTGTGCATTTATTTTGCATTGAAACAGATCTGGAACATCTGGAAAATAATAATGGTAAGATAATAGTTTATTGCCATGGAGAGGAAATTAAAGATAAAGAGATTAATCCAAAGTAATTTTACTCAGGAGTATAGCTAGATAGACCATTATTTTAAACCAACAGCGGTTTGTTAATAATACATAAACATTAAATTATATTGTATCGGCTTTGTTTTTCTAACTTCTAATAAATTAGACACATTCTGTTGTTTGTATAGTTATAGCAAATAAAATATGTGAAGTGTTTAATTTGCTATAGTATGAGTGTAGTAGAAAACTGGAATGTTTGGTATAACATGTTTGCTGTAAAACTGAGTTTCTTAACTTTTTTGACAAAGATCTAAATTAGACATGTGCACAGTGAAGAAACGCTGAACCACTTTGTCCAAAGTAATTTTTAGGGGGTGGGGAATTATGGCCATATTTCTGTTCCGTGCATCAGAATTTCATTAATAAAAACAAAGAAAATTTGGATAATTAATCAGGCAAACTAAAAAAGGCACGAAAATGGCTCAATCAGTATACAACAAAATAGATACATAATATAAATATGATATTATAGTTTTGCATTTTCCCACATTTAGTTTTCAGATCAAGTAAAAAAAGAACCAATAAAAAAAAAAGATTAAAAAAATAAATATATATATATATATATATATATATATATATATATAATATATTGCAATGCAGATTGGATTAGCTGTTTTATTAATTATTATAATTTATTGTTTTAGTCCAGTAGACAATATGTCAAAAAGCCAGAGTATTGTAGTATGCAATGATACCGTTTTTATTGGACTAACATAAAGTGAAAGACAAGCTCTTGAGCGTTTTCCACTTTTCCTCAGGTCTGAAGCAATACTTAATATTGAGATCTTCAGATCTGAGGAACAGCAGAAAACTCTTGAAAGTTTGTCTTTTAAGTATTATATTAGTCCAATAAAAAGATATCCTTGCATACTGCAATACTCTGTCATTTAAGCATCTTATATATTTTGCTCCTAATTGGTTTTCCTCTGCAGGGTCATTTACCATTTGATCTGTAAATAAAATCAACATTTAGAGGCTGTCCCCTAGCCATCAATCATCTTTTTTTCCCATAAATCATCTCTTTTTTGGCATAAGTGTGCATTTCGTTAGGTTTGTGATTTGGCTACCTATCGGCATGGAGTTCATGAATTTGTACAATCACTAGATCTGCCCGAGTTTGGAATGAAACATATCTCCAAGTCTAATCCAACTAACCAAAGTTAGCATTAATATTTATTTGTGTGAAAAATGCAAAAAACTAATTTGATTACCAATTTTGGCCAGTGTTTGTGACTAAGTGGCTACTAAAAATGACTGGATACTCCATTTGCAATACCTTGGGTTGTCTACTACTGCAAATGGTATGCCATCATGGGGGTGTATTTGTGTTCAGCGAAGTCTCCCGAGTATAACAGTACCCCTAATGTACAGGTTTTAAGGTGTTTTCAAAAGTTACAAAATTAAATATAAGGCTTGCATTTCAGTTTTTTAAGGGGTTAAAGTGTCATACATATTTCCACTGCAAGAGGGCAGAATTTTGCAACAATAAGCAATTTATAATTGTAAGTAGTCTGGGACTTGATGATAATTATATGACTTGATGATAATATGCCTGTTCTAACCATTTGGGTCAAACACTTTGATAGAGTGTCAGTCAGCACAAAACACATGGTTCCTTTGATCCTCTGTTTTCAGTTCCTCTTGTCTTGTCTCAAGCCTAACATGGATCATTAGAAATAGTATTTTTTAAATGTATTAAAGGCTCTTATTTTTAACACTTCTGTTACTACATCCAATGGCAGGACACCAGCTAGGACCGTTTGAAGTTTACACTGCACACTATCCCGTATTTTGTTTTTGACTTTTCTACAAGTCTGTCATAGCTGATTGGGTGATTATTTCTGAAGTCCTCTGATAACATGGGACGGGTCGTTATTTTATATTTATGATAGAAAGCATAAGTGCACTAAAGACATATGGACTAAGGATGAGAAATGTGGTGCAGAGTGTCCTGGTGTTTACTAAAAATAGGAAGGCACAAGAACAATAATATTATAGGATATTTATAAACAGAGCAATGTTAATATTCCAGGTAATAGATCAACTAAAGAACATTCAGGTTAATAAACAGGTTAACTAATTCCCACCTACCCTCAAATGGAAATACCAGAATTGACATCTTAATTAATCAACTCACTAGTGGTATTTGTTGTGATTTTCTGAGAGATTGTTTCAAGTATGGCATAATGTGAAGAGCCTAAATCTGGGGACCCCTTGGAAAAAAACTGGCTCTTATAAATTGAATGAAATGATTATTATCATCAACTATTAGAAATCCAAAGGAGTCCACGTCGGTATGCATTAAATACCTTTCTTGTGCTAAGCCCCTAAAGCAAAATCAGATCCGGTTTGAAATAAAAAAATATAATAATTGAAAACAAGAGACTATTCTGTCTTTGGAAAGAATAGAACCTTTCAAAGTTTCAAAAAAATATATATTTCTGAAAAAAAGTAAATAAAGAACAGACACAAAGTACTGAAAATACCTTGCAAAGCCTCAACATAGTCTAATCTAATTTCGTATTCAATTTTTAGAAAACTGTGCTTGTTTAAAAAGAAAGCATCAACTCCTTCTCAGGTTTGTTGCTAATATAAATTGAAAGTCTGGATTTTCTGCTGAACAAAAAGTATTTCCAGGAGTAATATATATTTAAATTAGAATAAAATCAAACACAGCAAATGGAAGTTATAAAATTAGCAACAAAGTATAAGATTAGGCCATCTATTTTGTTAAAAAATCTAGATAACCACACATCCATCATTTGTTATTTATGTGTTTTTTCCTCTCTATATCTTATGCCAATACCTCTGCCCAAGAGGCACTCTAAGGAGCATAATAACTACAGACTGTTGATGTGGTTATGGTGCTCAGAAGCTGTGGCACCATCCCTAATTTCTGTGTCAAACAATTTTCTAGTAGTTGAAAACAAACTGTGGATTTCCCAGGTGCCTGCATCGTCGCACACACCGCCCTGATAACTAATACAAAAATTCCATATTAATATTTGTTGTGAGTCTTAAACTCAATAATATTATACTCGGCTGTTTTTTTGCAGAATTAATAAAGCAATCATATTAAACCATTATATTAAATCATAATATTGTTCAATGTATATGCTTTATGGTCACAGTGATGAGGCTAATTCTATGTAAGGACTTTATATTGTAATGTGGTTGGAAGGTCTTTATCTAGGATTACTGTCGGATTATTGATATATACTACTGTTTGAATGTTTTGTGCAGGTGTAAAAAATGCGGTAAAATAAGAATGTTTTCAAAAATAGAAATGATAATGTTATAGGGAAATACTGAAGAAGCCACGCACAGAGAGTCCGGACGCAGGTCAGTTGAGGAAGCAAAGATCTTTATTTTCACCGGTCGGGTCTCAGCTGAACTTATGTCCAAAATGTCTGAGCCCTGGAGGTTTGAATTACAGGTTTTTATAGACTATACATCCCCCATCTGTACCCTTACATCAATCAGCAAACAGGAAACACAGGATTACCTTATATGGACAGGCAATATGGAACTAGGAGACAATGGAA